CTAGTATGCATCGCATAGCATCGGATGGGATTACCTTGCAGGGCATTTTGTTTTAGGTACGGTTTACTACCGCTTTAATTTCAAGGAGGTAAAGTATCTCCAGTACTATAACTATACAATAATAATATTATTAATATTTGTAAGGCACCAAGATATTGTGTTTTACTATTAATTTGTTAATGATCCACACCAAATAATATGCATCTAGCCACTGGAGCTGCATCCCAGAATGAACTTCAGCTTATTTCAAGTGTTTGTGGCACTTCTCTTGTGTATGACTGCTTTGTAATTCCTACACCCTATTCTTACTGAATCCTCTTGAATCACTTTTTCCTATAAAATGCACCATATGGCCAAAATTATTATTAAGCTCAGAGGTTTCCATTGAGGGGTACTGTTAATGCTAGAGCCTACAAGGAACTTTTAGATAATGTTGCACTTCCAACCTAGAGACAACAGTTTTGGGAAGACACTTTCTGTGCTAGTATTACTGAGCCCTTTGTACAAAGTCAGCTGCATAAATATATGGTTTAGTGAATCTGGTGAAGAAACTGGGTGACCTTCATAAAGCCCTGATCTTAACCCAGCTGAAATCCTTTGGGATGAATCAGAACATCAGTTGTGAGCGAGGTCTTCTCGCCAACATCAGTACCTGACTGCACATGTTCTTTTGACTGAATAGACACAAATTTCCACAGAGGTACTACAAAATCATGTGAAAAACCCTCCCATAAAAGTGCAGTCTGTGATAACAACAAAAGGTGTGTGTGTATTTGTATGGGGGGGAGGGCAACCCATTATAATGCCCCTTAAGTTTGGAGCAGAATGTCTATCAGGCTCATATAGGTGTGATGATTAGGTAACTCTGAGCCATATTGTGTATTAGGTCTTTCTTTTGGGTATCTTCCTTCAGGCTCAGTGCTGACAGTATTTTGCAACATCAAATTCACCAAACAATTGATAGATGTCAGTTAGCTTTTTGAAGACACCTTTCTCCTTCAACTTTTGTGCAATACATTTTTTGAAGGATTTTCTGCTTGAGGCCTCTGAGCTGTACTTGAAACAGAATGCCATGAAAACTTTTTTTGTGCATGAGTTAACTGCTCATATTGTCCAGGGGCACACCAAAAAATCAAACTTACCCGATCCTAAGATCCTCTGGAAAATAGCGCTCCCCCATGTATAGAGGTGGACTGTTCCTGCCGTCCTTATGTTCAGAGCAGGTCTATATGGGCATGATGATGCCAGAAACAGTCCATGCACAAGACCTCTAGCATGTGGGAGGGCAGAAGCAGCAGGAATCTGTCTTGCACTCAGAGGATCAGTGGATTAGGTAAGTATATCTTTGCATTACCCTCAGAAAAAAATTATCAGTTAAAGTATAACTATAGGCAAAACTTTTTTTTTACATTTTGGATAGAGTAAGGGAAGTTATAACCTCAATCAGATTTTTTTCGCCATCTGTGTCCCATTGCTAGATATCTCTTTACTTAGCTCTTCACTTCCTGTCCCTTAGCCAAACAGAAAGTGAGAGGAATTCCCTGCAAATGAAGGGAATTGCTTGGGGACACCCAGGTCCCCCGAAATAGTGCCCCCATTAGAAGATTTCCCCTCTATTACTTTTCTGGGGTCAACCCAAAATTTTGCCTTTTCTTTTACTTTCACTTTCAATGACAATGGTAAACAGGCCAAATAAAGATGGTGAAACTCCCTAACAGGGGCACAGACAGCAATAAAAGCTGACAGGTGTTCTAATCCCTTTGCACACTATGCAAAACTAAAAAAAAAGTTTTGCTTTAATTATACTTTAACCTTTTTTTACTTTTATAATAAATAAAAAAAGTATTATGTCTGGATAGTTACTTACACGTAATATGATCTCTCAAGGGCAAAATGAGTCGATCAATTGCATTGTCTTGTTATCCCACTATGATTTTAGAGCTCTGCACTTGACCTTGGTCATAGACTAGTCTTACTGCCTTTATAAAAATTATAAACATTTTCATAGTTTTTCAATTTTTTTCATAGTTTATGGAGTTAAAGCTGTTTTGTTGTCAATGAAAAGAAGATGACTTCTTGCCTTGAATGTCTTTGGTTTGACCAGACATCTGGTAGATATCTGACAATAGATCTCCTTGTTTATCATAAACGTGTTTATTCCAGAGAAAGCTCATCAACATGTTCCTTCCATTGTGCAAGAATGCTGCATTGGTTCAATGGAATAGAACCATCTTTGGCACAATAACATGCTCTTAGTTCTAATGCTTTTCTTAACGCATTCGCCAGTAGATCTTTATTTCTTATTTGGCTAAAAACAGGCAAGCTGTTTTTTGTCTGATTGCTTGGTTTTCAATTTTTGCTTTTGCCCATGCAACGCTCTCTGGGTTAGCCAGATAGTTGTTTGTTTTTTTCTTTTAGGCAGAGGCTGAGTAGCAGCCTGGGATGAGTCAGCCTGTGAGTGAGGCAGGAGTTCACTTCAGGACAGGCTGGGAGTCTCTAACAGGTCAGGGCTCCTGGAGACCTCCCACCCTTCCAGAAACTTAGAGAACTTTCTGGAAGAGGGGTGTAGGAGGAGAGGAGGCCCAGATCTGCATATTTGAGGGACCCTGGCAAATCCCCTGGCAGTAGGCTGGGTATGCTGTCCAGGGCAACACTAAAAATTTGCAGACCCTATGCATCAGGGTTAGTGAGTGTCAAGTAGAAGATGGAGTGAGAGGCTGGCATGTGGAGCCTGAGAGGGGGCCCAGGGAAGGGGCCTACCTACAGGCAGGTACTGGAGAAGAGGATCTCCATTGTACCACCATCTCCAAGGGAGGACATCCTGAGCAGTAGGGAAGGAGCCAGCCCACCTCCTTCTCCCACATATAGCCACCAATAACTGTTGGAAATACAACAGCATGTACTATATACAGTATTCTGTGTTAATATCACTTGACCAGTAGATGGCACTGTACACTAAGGTTACTAGTTGTGCATATGTGTAAAACCTGTTGGTTCTCTCTCTTCTCTCTCTTCCTCTCTTCATGAAGCAAGATGTCTGCTGAAATGTGTTGTATGTTTGCAACTTAAGCCAGACAAGTAAAACAGAGTTCTGCCTCATCACTACCAGTGTCTTCTCTAACACATAACCAACAATAACCACCAACCCATTGAGTTATCAAGAGAAGACATTGTGAGTACTCTTATACCCCATGGGCAGGATAAAGGGCAGGATGACAGTCAAGTGGAGATCCCAACTAGCTTCTCATTTGGGGCTGTTGTGCTAAATTTGCAGTTTTTGGGCCCCCTTGCCCAGGGAATACCCTCAGTGGAGCTGGGTGAAAAGGAGTATTCATCTGGGGTCTGAGGAGGTATACCAGAGAGCTAGAATGCTAGAGAGACTATTTTTGTCCACATCTGTACATAGTTGCTAAGGAGTTTGTCCTCCAGTTTGCAGTTTCCTTGGGCCTCCCATGCACTCCTCAACCCTTTCCAAGTTTTAAACCCTTTAATAAAATCACAAAACCAAGCTCAAGGACTGTTTACTGACTCTGAGTGCAAAGTGTGGAAGAAAATGTGTGCTACCTGGATATGCAGAGCTTAGCAAGACCCAAAACTCAGCGACCCCTAAGGGGATAGTGCTACACCTGCATTGTATTCTCTTATTTGCAAGTTTCATTTTTTCGCCCAGTAACCTTCTCATATACCAAGTTGAACCAGGAGTTCTTTTTTTTTTTCTCCTGCTACCCCACAGATTGTTCCTTGTATATTTCTGCTGTCTCAACTGAACTGAGATACCTTTGACATGGATAAATCAGATGTTATCCAGCTCTGGTGGAATATTGAGTTGCTGCTCCTCCATTTTGGAGCTTGGAGACAGATTGTTTGTTGCCTTTTCTTCTCTCTTGTTTCATATTGTATATTGTTAGGTATGTTTTCTTTGCCATTACAATGGCCAATGCATACACTACATGCGGCATAAAAATGTTTAAAGTTAATGTGTCATTAAAAAGAGATAGCAAATAAATATGTACCTGCAAAGAAGAAGATAAATACTTATATAATGAAGACCACTGTACCCTCACTGAAAGTATTGGGTCCGCTGTGTTGTCACAAACATGAATCATTTTCTTAACAGCCCATTAGATTCTGTGCAGCATGCCACAGCTTAAAAAGCATATCTGAACGATGTGCGGATACATTCTGTTTGCCTAAATGGATAACAGGTTGTCTGATTAAACATCAAGCTTATGGACATCTGTTTAATGCACACTTGCACTAGGTAAGCAATGCCTTGGTAAATTACATAGGTGGAACATTTAGAAATTTCACAGGTAGGATTTTGGCCTTCCTAGCGAATAACAAAATGCAAGGTTGAGGTCTGGTAAGTAATTGGCTTATATGTTAAAATGGACCTAAATCAGCTATTTGTATAATATTTTCAGGAGCTCCATCTGTGGGGGTGAGAATCTAAGTAAAAGCAAGTTGAAGCACCTAATGATGTCAATATGGCATTGCCTTTGGTTTGTACAATATGTTCTGGGACCAATAAATGTACACTTAAAAACCTGCTTCCAAACAAAGGTTTTTTCAGTTTTAAATAGCTTTGAGTACGGAATAGTTCTCTATTGTCTACTCCCATACTGAATGATAAATCTAATTATTTTTTTCCTGCTCCTTTGTATTTTGTATTATTGTAGGTAGTTTCAAAGCTTAACCAAAATAAACTTTCACATGGATTTGTGTTTAGTGCTGCATTTACAGCATTTTTTTTAGCATTATGTTGTTTCAATTGAAGTGGAACTTAACTTTATCTGAGCACCACAAACAGAAAACACAATTTAAATTTTAATTGATTTTAATTATTCAAACTCACCCATCTATCCATGTTTCTATGCTTTATTTGGTTGAGAAATCACTTTGAATGTCACCCACTAGCATTTTTAGCTGTGGCCATCTTGAGAAATGGCAGACGATTCATGTAGCAAGTACATCCTGGAATCCATCTGCCCTTAACTCATGTATGCAGGCAGGAGGGCAGGGGCGGACTGACAACTCATGGGACCCCCGGGCAATAGGGGATCATGGGGTCCCTGTGTCCTTGCCCAAACTAAAAAAAACTATGAAAAAGGTACCAGGGGCATCTTATAGGGCCCCCTACTGACCCCGGGCCCTCAATAGGGGATCATGGAGCCCCTGTGTCCTTGCCCAAATGCAAAAAAGCCTATGAAAAAGGTACCAGGGGCATCTCATGGGGCCCCCCTACTGACCCCGGGCCCTCAGGCAGTGCCCGAATTTCCAAATGGTCAGTCCGCCCCTGCAGGAGGGTATGCTTAGCCAAGAAAGCCCCTCCCCTCCTCCTAGATGAAAGGAAAAAAAAACCCTAAGATGACTCCTGGGATGTATAACATCATTTTGGCCTAGGCCAGAAACCAGGAAGAAACTGAATAAATTAAAGAAAATGATTAAACAAGTGAATATAATATATCTGACTATCTATTTACTAATACAAGCTGCATACAGATTAAAAATAGCTGACAATGTAGATTGAAGATGTTTAGTTCCACTTTGAAGAACCAATATGTATTATTCATGTTCCTTTAACCCTGATGAAGGAGTATTTTAGAACATCTTGAAAAACGTTGGCTTGCCCTTTTGATTCTGTATGAGAAATAAACACTTCTAGTTCTTTTAACATTTGGCCCTCTTGTTTTTTTCTGTTACTAGATCTTTGTTGCTGTCTGTGTGCTATTTGGAAGTAGGGCTGGTGCTTCCACTAGGCAAACTAGGTGACCACCTAGGGTGCACTGCCACCTAGGGGCGCCTGTGCATAGCACAGGCCAGCATCTCTCTGCATTGTAAGCTACTATGTCATGAATGATCCTTCATCTGAGGGGAGGGGTGGCAGAGGGTAGGAAGAAAGGACAGAGGAAGATGACAGGTGTCTGAGGCTAGTGTAGCAGCTGAGCTGAGGGGGCGTGGGAGCGGGGGGGGCTGGGGCCGCTCCTTCCAGTGTTCCTCTCAGACTCAGTCCCTTACTGCAAGCCAGATGGCAGCTGCTGATCACTGTAGAGTTCCAGCCCTTCTCTTCCCATTAATCGGAGGTGGCAGAGCTAAGGAAGGTAATGTCTGACTCTGATGTCTCGTGTCTATGTAAGTGTGATCCTGCCAGCCATTTATCACATATGCTATGTGTCAGTGAGTGAAGACATCATCACGATCCCAAAGCCTGCTCTTCTAGTGCCTGCTGATCTGTGTCATTGTTGGTGGTGGTGTGTTGTGTTGCATCTGTTATTGTGTGGGATTGCTTAGTTCAGGTGCTCTCTCTGTGTGTGTGGGCTGGGCTGCCTGCTGTCTCCCCCCATTGCCTGGGGATTTCCAGCCTGGGATCTGTCAGGATGTGGATCCATCATCCTCCACTCACTGCATCTGTCACTTCCAGCTACAGATACAGTCCATCCGTGACACTGATTTTGTCTTTAATATTGGTGCTGGTGGCAGGGGCGTATTTACCGCAAAGCAAACAAGGCACTTGCCTAGGGCAGCATTTTTTTAGGGGGGGCAGCACCTCCCCCCAGAAGTAGGAATGAAAGAAGGGACATGCACACCATGGGAATCAGGTGGGATCCGAGAGGGGCTGTGGGCTGCTTCTTGATGTATATAGAGCCTGACTCTTGTACCCAGGGATGTCCAGAGCTGTGAAGATAAGGGTCTCTCTATCGCCGGGGGGGGTAGTGGAAGGCTGGGGGGCAGGGGTGTTGTTGGTCAATGTCAGGCTCTCTCTGCAGGAGGGGGGGGGGGGGTTGTGTTGGTCAGTGTCCGTGAGGGCAGACAGTATTTGTGTTGCCTAGGGCAGCACAAAACCAAAATACACCACTGGCTGTTGGCATCTTACGGCACTTATTTTTGCAAATTAAAAGAAATTTGGGAGTTTCATGTTTTGTTGATTGAATATGTTCTACTGTTTTTAAACTTTTTTTGGGGGGTGGGGGTGGGGGGGTGCAAGTAGCCGGTCTTTCCTAGGGCACAATATAGTCTAGCACCGGCCCTGTTTGGGAGATTCCACTTCAATCCCCTGATTACCACGACGGAAGGTCAGGGCTAAACTCTCCAACGGATACAAGAACATCCATGAAGACAGGATTATAGCATTTGCCATGTATCAAAAGCGGTAGAAAATCACAAATAAAAAAAACTGTTTCCTGCAGGTCTAAGCCATAATGTGCAAGTATGCACCCCCTTATTATGACACACTTACCTGCATGTGGAGCCTTGCAGTGCAGTGCTGTCACAGATCCTCACCGCTTCTGTCTTCACCCGGTCTTCCTTCCAGGTTTGTGGGCATCAGCTGCTTGAATGTCCGGGGGCTGCAATGATGTCACTATGCTCTGCATTCAACGGCATACTGTGTGCTCTAAATGCAGAGCGTCACTGTGCATGCACGGGAGACATCATTGGCTATTGCTGATGTGAATATATTCTAAACGGTGCAAGTTTGGGAGATATTCCTTGTACCCACAAGTAAGTCTGATTATAAACTGACCTGTAGATAAAAGTAACGAGAAGAGACCTTACTACCACATTAATGTTTTCTCCCTGTGCAAGAAAATTTGAGAACATTTCAAGAACATAGACAGTATATAAAGTTAAAAGAGGTTTGATCTGTTCACCATTCTACCAAAAACAAAAGACTGCTAAAAAAAATCCACCACCCCATTGCACTTTCTGGCTCCTGGCATTCTAAAAGTTCCTATGCATATCAAAGGCACATTCGCTGCCAAAATTGACCCATGGTACATGTAGTACTACCCTCATAAGGGCCGCTGGATTTGGTTTGTGGCCTCTGCACAGCCAGGCAACACGCATTTCCTACACTTGTACCGTCAGAGTCAGTAAACAGTCCATGAGCTGGTTTTTTAGTTGTTTTTATTAAGGGGTTAACAACTTGGATGGGGTCCCAAGAGCTTGCAGTTAAGCAGTCCCAGGTTAAGACTAGATGGGTATTGAAACTGACCTCCTCCCTCTCCTCTTATCCGGCCCAGGGTGTGTAGGAGTACTCACAGTGTCCTCGCCTGCTAGCATGGTGGGTTGTGGGCTGTTTTCAGGTCTTATGCTGGGCTGGCTCCTTCCCTGCTAACAGGTTTTCCTCCCAAGGAGATGTTGAGGCAGTAGAGATCCTCCTGTCCAGCATCCTGCCTGTAGGTAGGCTCCACTCCCTTGGGCCCCTTCCCAGACTCCACACTCCAGCCTTCTCTCAATCCATCTTTCACCTGACTCCCCTCTCTCCCCAGACTCTGTCATATTTGAGGGTTGCCCTGGTCACCATACCCAGCCTCCTGCCAGGGGAGTGGCCAGGGACCCTCAAACATGCAGATCTGGGCTTCCTCCCCTCCTCCTCCCCTGTTCCAGAAGGTTCCCAAGTTTCCGGAAAGGTGGACTGGCTTCAGAAGCCCTGACCTGTAGAACCTCCCAGCCTGCCCTGAGGTGAAATCCTGCCTCACTCCCAGGCAGACCTATCCCCTGCTACTACTCAGTCTCTGTTTTAAAAAAAAAAAAAGCCTACCTAATTAACCTGGAGGTCGTTACATACATGTATGACCTTCTATGTTACATGGCCAAGGTTTGTTGACCGCTGCCCATCTCTCCTACATGAGCTTGTTGAACTTTCTATAATCAATATTATAGAGTTGCCCCCTTGCCTCCCTGCAATTATAACAATCTTATAACAATTTCTGAGAAGGCTTTATGCAAGATTTTGGAGTGTGTCTGTGTGAATTTATGCCCAGTGTTGGATGAAAAGACCCGGCTCACAATCAATTTATCCCAAAGGAGTTCCTCCATAGAAAACTCATCAAACCATATACAGTATTTATGGACCTGGCTATCTGCACAGGGGCTCAGTCATTCTGGAACAGGAAAAGCCTTCTCTGAACTGTTTCCAGAAGGTTGAAAGTACTAAGATGTGTACAATGTCTTTGTATACTGTAGCATTAGTAGTACCCTTCACTGGGAACATCTGAACTCAATACTTTGGAGGGCTGCTTTTGGCCATATAATGTACAGTACATGCATACATACATGGTACACTCTAAGAGAACAACTGGGGGAATCAGTGGTGAAGGATCTGGGTGTTCTGGTAGATCACAGACTTATTAATAGCATGCAGTGCCAAGGTTCAGTTTCTAAAGCGAGCAAAATGCTTTCTTGCAAAAAACAGTTATGGACTCCAGAGAGAGCAACATCATTTTGTACAAATCATTAATAATATCTGATCTAGAATATGCAGTTCATTTTGGGCACCAGTTCACAAAACGGATATCATAAAACTAGAGAAAGTGCAGAGAAGGGCAACCAAATTGACAAGAGGCATAGAGGAGCTCAGCTAAAAAGAAAGATTAGCTGAAATGAATGTATTCTGTCTTGAAAAGAGGCGATTAAGGGGATATGGTTACCATGTATTAAAACATACAGTAAGTGGTCATATAGTGAACTTAGTGTAGAGTTATTCACTTTCAGGTCATCACAAAGGGCAAGGGAGGACTCTTTACGTTTGGAGGAAAAGAGATTTAATATCCACATATAGAAAGGCTTCTTCACAGTAAGAGCTGTGAAAATGTGGAATACACTCCCTCAATAGCAAGTTCTGGATAACTCAGTTGGTTTTAAAAGAGTGTATGCAATGAGTAGTACAAGCGCCTAAGTATATAGGTAACCAGCTGCTGTGCACAAAGAAAGGTACCAATATCACCCTAAGAAGTAGCAATGTATATATAAAGTGCAGCGCTCGATATTAAAACCAATATAATGAAAATACGTCCTTATTAGATGGTAAATATATATATACATATAAATTCAAAGTTGAAGAAGATAGTCCAGCAAATCAATATAAAGATATAAGTGCTCAGGTGACTTAAAAGTCTGGTATCCGTGTGGTAATGATAAAGCAATGCGCACTCACCGGACGCGCATAATAAATGCGCTTTTGTGTATAAATAATCCAGATGTCATCTGATAGTGGGTGGTCCTCCCTCTGTTTGGTATGAGGCTGGTTTTAAAAGAGAGCTGGATGCATTTCTAAATATACAAAATATAACTAGATACTAACAGATA